TTATTGTCTTATAACTCCATTTTATAAGTTTTGTGAGGTTTTGATTTTTTGAATTTGGAGATGTTTTGGATGATTTAAGAAGATGAAAAAGATAGGGTTTAATTGGGTTGTCGCGGCAGTTACGAGCACGTACGGTGGCGTTCGGCGGCGGCGGCGTCGGCGGCGGCGGCGGCGGCGTCGGCGGCGGCGGCGGCGGTCAGGGTTGGAGAGGAGAAGAAATGGTGGAGGTTTTTTTTTTTAACAACAAAGGGTTTTTTTCTTTTTTTTTTATTTGGTTTTTGAATAGGTAATTTCTAATAAAATTTGATATAATTGATATTTTGTATGAAAGGGTGTTTTTGTAATTTTCTTTTTATTTTGGTTTTAAAGTAAGAAAAAACTTATAAATATGTACTCAATTGTGGTTTTCAACTAGGTAGTATTCAACTAAGCAAAAATTAGTATTCAAAATAGTTGCCCCCTAATGTTTATAATGATTTGGTTCAATTTGAATCAACTAAACTCAACCGTATTCGTGATGAATACCAGCAAATACCGTATTCGTGCAGCAGAAGAATTCGCGGAGGATTACCAAGATGCGTTGGACTCTGTGAGAGAGGAATTCGCTGCCTATTATAATCACCATTATTCAGCCAACACGAACCACCACCACCACCCACCACCGCCGCCGCCTCTGACGCCGCCAATTGCATCGTCGGTGATGCTACCACCACCAATCGCCAATGACGATGACTATGATGATGAAGACATCGTGAACAGGAGAGTTGAACAGCTGGAATTTTATTACAAGCAACAACATGCCGAGGTGGAGAAGATTAAAGATTACCGAACTAGGGCTATGGGAACAATGCCCGCGTGGTATACCGACGAGATTCATACGACACTATGCGTGTTTATCTACAACATCATGTGCGCAATAGAATCTTTTGCGGATAAATTGGGCGATAGTTCCTATTTTGAACAAGCCCCGTTTCAAGAATGTATGTCGATACTCCACCGGCTTCGACAACACCGACATAATTAATTAAAGTATTCCATATGGTTGACTGCGGATTCTTTAATTAAAAAAAATATTAGTATCCCATCATTTTTTTTTTATTACTTAACTCATAATAATATATACGTTATTAATAATTTTTTTTGAATTAATAGGAAATGTTTGATTTTTTTGGGGGGTTATATATGAATTATTCTTGTTATTGTTGTAAATTGGACCATTAATCCATACGAATAATAGATATTTTTACTGTTTTGGGTGACAATTGAATAAAAATTCTAAATTTGTTTCTTCTTAATAAAATTGAAAAAGTAATATCAATTCCGTTATCACAAAAACATTATTTCGAGAAAAAAAATCGAAATTTCGGATTTTTAAATGACAGAATGTTTCAAAATCAGAAATTTTCAAATTGGAATCATCGAAATTCAGAATTTTGATTTTTTCAGTCACATATTATATTCCGCATAAATGGTGAACCTTTTTGACCTCAACCTCATACTCCACGCCGTCACACTGAAATTGTAGATCGATAGATAATCTAAACTAAGTTTTTTTTATTTGGATAAATGGCGAATAAGCCCATGACAAGAGCATTTGAATAAAAAAAAAATGGACATTTATCTTTTTTGTCTTGCAAATAAATCCACCACAGTCATACTTATTTGCAAATAAGGAATTTTTTTTATATATACCAAAATCACAGTAGTTAAAGTCGCGAGATACCGCGATTTATATCGCGAGACGGTACGGTCCCAATCAAAACGATGCAACTCATAATATGTATCAGCTATGCATAAATACCGTTAAATATCGCGAGATATCGTATCGTATCGCCATATCACGATACGATATGATATTTACGATATTAGACAAAATATTAAAAAACAAATTAAAAAAAAAAGAAAAAAAAGAAGAAAATGAAATATTCACATATTGTTGGAACCACGTCTGTAATTTGATGATTGGTCACGAAACTTGTGGATTGAGGCTTGTACTCCATTTGTTCTCCAATTTTATATATAACAAGTTGCTGCAATAATATACACAATAATATGGAGATAGGCAAGGTGAGGCGCGGACCAGGCCGCTCTCTTAAGACGAATTCCACGACCCCTTCTCTAATGAGGTGCAAAAAGGCCACGTCTGTAATTTGATGATTGGTCACGAAACTTGTGGATTGAGGCTTGTACTCCATTTGTTCTCCAATTTTATATATAACAAGTTGCTGCAATAATATACACAATAATATGGAGATAGGCAAGGTGAGGCGCGGACTAGGTCGCTCTCTTAAGACGAATTTCACGACCCCTTCTCTAATGTGGTGCAAAAAGGTTCCGATCGTGTCGCCTATGGGATACAACAGCCCAGCCTATCTCTCCGCTGTAACTTCACCGAAATTGCACGTTCGAGTGAAGTAGAAGCTTACACCCGACACACAACAAGAGCTCTAAATATATGTATATAGTATAGAAGAAAAGTGTTTCTTTTTCTCTTCCCTCACATACCTTGTAAAACAACAATATCCCCTTTATATAATATATAATATAACCCCCATAAAACCTCAATTTAATATAGAAATTATGATATTTTATGTAGGAAAATAATGACTTTGAAGGTTTCAAAATAGTGGTCTAATGACCCTCATAAAAGTGGTCAAAGTCATTATTATAATTTATAATAAAATATATTGTTTTTATTAAAATAATCCAACACATTATCAGGGCCTGAAAACAAATTTCAATATTATTCAATTTTTTTTATATATATTGGATCCAAGAAATTTACATGCCAGATTTTATATTGATAAGAGAAAATAGGAAAATGCCAAAGTTGGAGTTGATGAAGTTGAAGAGATTGATGAACTTGAGGATGAAAACATTCGTTTGAAATTGGTGGATGAAAAAAATTTAAGTTACATTGATCTTGAAGATTATGAGTGATAGATTAGTTTTTTACAAATTAGATATCAAAATTTGAACTTTGTTGATGTTATTTTTATGAGCAATTATGACTCCTGTCCTATTTTATGTTATATTATTTTTTTTTTAAATTAAGAATGAGTGGTTTGACTTTAAAATATTAAATTTTACATTTTTATAGTATTTTTATTATGTAGATATATATATATATCATTATTTTTAATAGTTGGTTAAATTATCGTACGATACGATACGATACACGGAGGAAAACGATACGCCGATATTTTCCGATTCGATAACCATGACCAAAATTACCCCAACTCCTTGAAAACCTAATTTCAACAAGGGGCAATTTGCTATAGGTCCTCCTATAAGAGATTTTATGTCTATAAATCCAACTAATAAAATTCATTTTTTAGTAAATTTATTCTTTTTAAAGTGTCCAAAATATCCCTAATAATATATAGAAATAAAAATACCTAAAATAATATCCCATATATTTCTCCCTGCGGTTGATCTAATTTAATTACGTTATCTTCCTTTTTTAATTAATTACTGGCCATGTAAATCATATATATATATATATATATATATATATATATATATACGTTCCCCTCTCTCTATTAAGTATTAAGCCATTGAAATTCATTCTACTCAGACGCAACCATTGGAATTCTGTAAGCCCCTCAAATTTTTGTTTGTTTGTTTGTTTGTTTATTTGTTTGAGGAGAAGAGAAAATTTATTAATCGAATTCGGGATTTGTTGTTCTAATGAATGACTATTGATATGGATTTGTTTACGAAACTTTGTCGTTCGATTTTTCATTTTTTATAGTTTTCTAGCTTGTGTAACGTTGCTTCTAGGATTTATGTAGAATTTTTTTTAAACCCACAAGTGCAGGTAATTCATCACTATGGAAACAAAGGGCATAAATCGAGAGAGCAAAACTCCTTTGCTTATGATATCCCACGGGGAATCGGTGGAAAAACATTTAATTTACAATCCATCTGAGAAATCGGTTCGCATGTTAAACAACGTTTCGGTCTTGAACGGCAAGAAGGTACTCGATTCTTTTTATGGATGGTTAGTTTTAGTGAAACCCGCTGATGTTGATGGTGATTGTTGTCTTTTCAATCCAATAACCGAGGAAAAAATCGAGCTCCCAAAACTCGATGACTCGCGCACTTACAATCAATGTATTTTGACCAAACCCCCCACTGAACCTGATTGTTACATTTTGTTCAATGGATGAGAACAATCTTTTTGCCGGATTGGAGACAAAGAATACGTGACACGGACATTAGAACAACAAGAAGAAGAAGAACAAGAAAATGGTCGTGTTGGTTTTGACGATCTTCGGACGATTGCATTTTTTCAAGGTACTACTTACGGCTTCATGGATCCCGATAAATTTGTTACCATTCATTTCGTGGGGAATACTATCGAGTTTAGGCAGATACCAATGGTGGAGCCTTCGGTCATTCCTCATTCGTCGAGAGCATATGACATATGGTTGATTGAGTCTTGTGATGGTGAGCTCTTGGTAGTTCAAAGAGTACATCCTTTCACAGAGAGTTGTTATGATGGGATGGACTTTACAGTTTTCCGGTTCGATACAAATCGAATGAGTTATGCTGAGATAGAAAATATAGGGAATCGAACAATTTTTCTCAGTGAAAATGGTGCTGGATATTGTTGTGTTTCTCAAGAAACAAAACCAAATTCGATTTACTATACAAATGAAGACGACAAAAATTTCAACAGGAATCAGGACAGAAATCTCCATATATTTGATTTGGAAAATAGGAGCACACACTCGATGCTGCCATCCTCTAAAGTTGCGACCAACAAGTTAATAACAACCTGTTGGGTGCAACCCGAAATATTCCATCGTCCCTAATATTTTCATTCTTCCATTATATATAGTTCCGATAGGTTTGAATCTAGAGTTACAATTTTATATTAGTTTTTCTTTTATTTTCTTTTGTCATGATTTTATTCTATTCTAAGATTTAGCTTGTGCTAAGCTAATATTTAGTTGCCGATTTCGTCTTTTGTCACAAGAATGAGTTAAGATTTAACCGCACCATGCCAATGGATTTAGCTTTGTTGCAAAAAACTTGAAAAAAAAAAACGTGAAAATAACGATAATTTTGAGGAGCGGATGAATGTAATGTTGAATAATTCAAACCAATCTAGGGTTTTCCAGTAATGAATACAAACGAGTTGAGCTCCAAGATTAGAGGTGCAAGTTGGAACGAATTTTTCAATTTCCGCCGGTTTCGATCCGAAAAGTTCCTTGGAACAATTTTTTTCATTCCAACTTTCGAAATTCCAATTTCCGAAATTTTTCGATTTTTTTGGATTGGAATTGGAATTATATAAAATAAATTTGGAATTTCCGATTTCCGATCCGATTTAATTCCGAAAAATTCCGATTTTTTTCCGAAAAATACACCTATAAATAGTATATATTATATAATACTTACTTTTCGAAAAATACACCTATAAGTTTTGTTTTAGGATTTTGACATAATGAATTGTTGTTAGAAGTTTTATTGGATATGATGTTATGTTTATTTTTATTTATTTTTTTGAACTGAAATTTAGTAGTTATTAGTTTTACTTTTATCGACGTGGATGCTCTTATTTTCGAAAAATAATGAACATTTTAGAAAATTTCGGCTAAGTTTTGAAATTTTAAAGCTTTTGTTATTTCCGATTTTTTTCCGACATTCCGAAATTTCCGGGCCTTTTTGAATTGGAATGAATTTTTAGATTCCAAAAATTTTGGATTGGAATTGGAATTGATTTTGTACTTCCGAATTTTTTTAAAAATTTTAGGCTAATTCCGATCCGATCCATCCTACTTTCACCCCTATCCAATATAGATAAAGTTAAGCTAATTTAATCTAAGACTAGTTAAAACACAAAATACTAAAAAATGGCTTAATGAAACAACCGAGCAATACTCCACCTTATACAACCATGTGTCACTGATCACGTGACTTGATACTCTCCCTCTCCATGAATATGTTCCAAACGACATCGCGCAACCTTTTTATTTAAGCTAAAAACGTGAAATAACTTATAAAATCACAAGACACTTGTTCTTTAACTCCAAAACGTCACCATTCAACTTACTTGAAAAATTATAAAACGGCTAATACCACTACAAGCATTAAACTTATTCAATATTATATATATATATATAAAAGTTCATTTATTTTTGTTATAAATATGCCTTAAGGTTTTTAAATTGTCCTAGCGTTTCTTTCTTATATTATATTCAGGAAGAAGACGGACGAAATCGGCAGAGATAACCAACGAATTAATTATTTCAGTTACAGAACGGCTGGTGAAGGAATTCCAAGACGCAATCGACACGTTGAGAAAAAATCTTGGTACGTACCTATTAATGTTATCAGAACCGGACTGGACACAAAACCGGATGAGCATTCGGGTCACGGTTGGACCGGTTCAACCGGGTTCGACCCGGGTTTATTATTTTTTGAAGTTTTTAATTATTTTAGAAATATTATTTTCTATATATTTTTATTCGTTCCACCCACTCACTTCATAATATTATCAACTCACCCCTTATTCTTTTTATATAAATTTTAATAAGATTTTTTTCTCCATTTTCCCACGTGCTAATACATCTCTTCTATCCCGTTCTTTCTCCTTTTTCATCAATTTCTTCCCCTTCTTAACGCTCCCATCTTTCTTCTGATCGTTGACCAAACCTCCGTTGACTATATATGATGGCATGGCGACGGAGAGAATCATAGATCAGCTGGAATCTTATCACAAGCAACAGATGCTTGAGGTCGAGCAGATTAGGGAGTACCAAACGACGGCTATGGATGATTATCGCACGTGGTATTATGACGACGCTAATACGGTTAAATTGGGGAATAGCCCTTATGGAGATGGCCCACATGAAGAATGCTCGACCATATTCGACACCTGGAGCAAAACGAATACGTGCTTGTTAAGTTTTATATTTTTCAACAAGTTAAATATCCCGAAAATAATTTTACAAGTTTCTAGTCTTTGCAAACATAATTTAGCTGCTCATTTAACTGTTACAGTAATAAATGTCTTGAAAACCAGTAAGCACTCAATCTATGTATTATTATTAATATTACTCAAGGGCATAAATTCATTAAAACTCTATGAATACACATTGTCCATGGTTTTTTTTTTCTTTTTTTTTTTTTTTTACTTGTGGTGACCTGTGATTTTTTCACAGTGTTTCCACATTTGATGACCTCTCTTCTTAACCCCACTTTTGTCGCTAATTTTGGTCGCTAAATGCTCAAGTCTCAATAGCATCTCTTGGTGGCAATCGTACCCCATCGTCATAAGCTTCGAGCAGCAACCCTTGTCCACATTCTTCCTCTTCTTCTCCAACACAACTTCCATAACCTCGTTCCCGCATTTATCCGTCATCTTGTTCTCGCATTCCTGCAAGAATTTCTCGTACCCCGGAAGATACTGACGTGGTGGGACCTTCGGGTAGTGTCTGTTTTTCTTCACCGGAGTGACTTTCAGGCACCTTTTCCATAAATTTTCGCTCCTCGATACGATTGTGTTCCTCTCTTTCTTGCTTTTGATTAAGTCTTTTTCCCGTTGGATCATTACCCGGTGGCAGTCGGGCCCCATGTCGACCAACTTGTAGCAACATTTCTTGGTGATGGTTTTGTTTTGGAATATGTCTTGGAAGATTTCTTCGGCGCATTTCTCGGTCATTCGTTTTTCGCATTCTTCCAAGAAATGTTTGTATTGAGGAGTTAGCTTCTCTTGCGGACTATGAGCTAGTGTTGTTAGAGTATGGTTTTGTGGTGATGGGAGTGGTGATGGTGTGGGCCCACCGTGAATTGGTCTCCTGAGTTTCGTTGCTTCGGATTCGTTGAGGAAAAATCCGACGTTGATTATGAGGACGACTATGAACTTGATCATAGTGCTCGATTTCGACATATTTTGGTTGTATGTATTTTATTATAATTTTTTTTTTTTTGTTTTTTTTTTTTTTTTTTTTGTTTCTTTTGGATTTGATGAAATGTGTAATGGTCTAGATGTATTTTTATATGTGTATTTTTTGGTAGGAATTTAATGAAGTTGGATATATGTTACGATTCAATTTAGTGGTCAAATTTGAAACCTATGTTTGCTTTTATGGTTGTATTAATTTGGGGTTGAAGTATTAAACCATTTGTAAAATATGAAAATAATGTTTACATCGGTGCAAAATGTAAATGACTGTTATGAGTTTATGTTTGACAAAATTAATCGATTAACGTTGAATGTTAAATACATGGCTGAATGATTAAGACCAATGTCGGAATGTAGAACACTGAACGTTTAAGTTTGTTTGATAACTGAAAATGTATTGTATCTGAATAATGTAATTTTATTGTATTAGTCCTTATAATTGTTGAACATATATTTATATATTAACAAAATTATCAATAATATTTTTTTAACTATGACCCTTGTGATTATTATGTTCTATTTCTTTTGACATAAATAAATATTGTAAGTCTAAATTCTTTATTGACAAATATATAAAATTCTAATATTAATTATAACTTTTCACTAAAAACACAATCATTTTTTTCATTATATAACCATCAAAATTGCTAGATATATAAGTTAATTCACTAATTAATTACAAATAGTATCACTAAAAAAAATTATGAAATGTGACCTTCTTTTGGTAGACCTGAAAATCAGTGAGAATACAAATATTGCAACCAAGATGAGTCACTAGCTAGACCATAATATAGAGTTAAACCTCTATTAATAATAATTACAGTTCGACCAGCCAAATTCTATTATTTTAGAAAGAAAAAAAAATTCAACACATGGTCGATCTTCTAGCTAGTTGGGACCAGGAAAAAATATTATTATTGAAACGAGGTTATTAATTTATCGATGTTTTGCTTGCTGCATCACTAATAATTAGGACAAATTAAACAATGTATACTACAATATACTAATTTAACTAATCTTCGTGATCTTTCGATTGATCAATGAGTTGTCGAAACACTTGGAGCCACCGCATGGATGCTTCATGTGTGGCTAGGTTAACAACGCCCGTATCTCCCAATTTATCGGTACAAGCCTCGGTTGCGCATATGAGTTTGTACGTAAACAAGACTAGTGTATCCTCAATATCGTCGGAGTACCATGGCGGGCGGTTTTGGTCAGCTTCTTTCGATAACGCAGCCGCCCTCCTGTCGTATTCTCTAATCTGGTCGGCCTCCGCACTCTGTTTCTCGTGATAGCAATCCAGCTCGTTGCATCTCGTCTCCGCCACGTCGTCGTCGTAGTCAACCGAGTTTGCGTCGAGGATCGGCGATGGTGGTAGCATCTCCGGGAATGCGATTTGCGGCGGCAGTGGCGGCGGCGGCGGGTGGGGTTCGTTCGTGGCGGCTGAAATATAGTTGGCGAAATCCTCTCTCACAGAGTCCAAAGCATTTTGGTAATCCTCCACGAATTGTTCTGCTGCAGAAATAATGATTTTGTTGGTGACCGGATCTGCCAATTTCTTGTCCATCTCACTCCTCCTGAATATAATAAATATAGGGTAAGTTACAGCCACCCTCGAGGTATGGTCAATTTATGAAAAAACCCCTGTTGTTCGGAGAATTACATCTACCTCTCTCAACTATGATTTTTTCTTACACCTACATCTATATGGTGTCAAATTCACATAATCATCTAGATTTCATGGAAATGTCCTTTAGCTTGTACTCGTTTTGTGTAAAAATACAGTTTCTGATGCACCACAATCTGATATATACAAGCCAAAAAATATATTACGATCATCTTGCTTCAAAATGTGGAGTTCGAATTGGATAAAGCGGGTACAAAAGTGATAATATTCCATGTAATCTCGAAGATTCCACTAAATTTGAAACTGGAAGGATGGACGTATAAGAAGATTTATAATTGAGGGTAGTTGTAATTACCCAAACAAAAGAGGGATTTTCGTAATTTGACCATACATCTGGGGTGGTTGTAATTTATCGTATAAATATATATATGCAGGGGCGAGTCCACCCTTGGGCAAGGGTGGACTCAAGCCCACCCTCATTTTTTTAATTTGCCCCCTATATTATACTATATTTTTATTTAGCCCACCCAAATTTTATTTACTAGCCCACCCAAAATTTCATTTAATGCAAAAGAAGCCCCATATTTTATTAATTAGCCTACCCAAAATTTAAATTAATACAAAAAAGTCCCAAATTTTATTAATTAGCCCACCCAAAATCCAAATTAATACAAAAGAAACTCTTTTTTTTTTTTCATTTCTCCTTTTTCCTATTTTCAAAAAAATCCTAAAAAAATCTCAGGACCGCTGCCCCCGAACCCCCGAAAATTGAAGCCTCCCCTGTACCGAATTCCTGGACTCGCCACTGTATATATGGCACAAGTTGTGTTTGAATTAAGCAAATTAAATTAAATAATAAACAATCGGCAAATTAAGTAAGAAATATACAAAATTAATGGTGATATTATATATAGTGCACGCGCCGATCAGCTGCGCGCGTTTCTCCAACATGAAACTCTCATTTTTTTGAACTAATGTAACCCAATCAAAGCTCGACAACTCAGCGCAGGCCTCATTGTAGTGTGTAGATTAATTATCTATTGCAATCACATTCTTCTATAAGTATATACTTTTATAAGAAAATTAAAACAAGGAATTCAAATTGCAGAAAATACCCTAATTAAGGGGAAACTACAGTTTGCACCCTTAAACTACAAAACGTACCAAAATAGCCCCTATGATTCCGGGTCAACGTTTACAAAATGACTTAATCCCACTTTGCACCCTTGAAATGGAGCATTTTGGCCCTTTGCACCATTGAAAAATAATAATAGTATTTTGCACCCTCAAAACACAATAAATCATTTACAATGCACCTTAAATTGAATAATAAAGGCACGGGAAAAAATGTTAGTATATATTAAATAAATATAACCTGAGTGCCTTCTGCTTAGCCTCCAAATGCACGAAAAGTGCATGCACCTCAGCCACACGCGCCTCAGCGGCGCGTCGTCTCTCGGCCACCAGCTCCCCTAATCTCCGGGTAAGATTCTCCGTATAACTCTCGGTAAATTCGTCTTTCTTAGTAGCCGATTGGTGATTTTCAATTTCCATCAAATTGCTCGAATCATCGGATTTTCCTCGCGACATCGTTTGATCTTCAATTTTTCTTTTTTTTTTTTCTATTTGTTTCGAATATTCGGACAGGAAAACGTGCGTTTAAAAGCAAAAACCCGAAGAGATGATCGAGTTCGCTTCGCCGAAGTGATAAAAGGAGACTACGAATTTAAATAAAAAAAACTTGGAAATAATAAAGATTAATTAGTTAGTTAGTTAGTTGCATTAAACCCTGCTTATCTGGTAAATCCAGCTTCTCTCTCTCAATTATATATAGCCACGTGGTGCGCTCAGACCAAATCTCCCTCTCTAAGCCAAATGTTGGAACGGAATTAGGGTTAATTAGTCCGCTTCTTTTTGCACTATTATCTCTGCATGGGTTCCTTTTTTTTTTTTTTTTTTTTTTTTTAAATAATATTTATAATAGAGAGTCGTTCACCTCTCTTATATTATTTTATGTGAATAAATCCTAGTTAAAAATCCTATTTTTAATAGGGTACTTATTCATAAAGAGATCCAGACAATAATCTTCTTTACCAATAAGTCCACACAAGTCCAGATTTTTGTAAATGACTAAAATTACCCCTCTTACTTTAATATGCTCCAATTTCATCCTTAACTTAATTTAACTTCAATTTGACCCCAAATTTCACAAATTATTCAATTTTGACCCAAAAATATTTTTTTTCAAAAACTTTTTTTTTTCGCCGGTCTCCGGCGTTGACTTTTTTAATTTTTTTTTCTTTCTTCCGGATTCCGGCGTTGACTTTTTAATTTTTTTTTTTTCTGTAACTTTTTTTTCCGTTTAAACAGCAATATTGCTGTGAATGACAGTAATATTAACTATATTACTGTTAAACACAGTAAAATTAACTAAACTATAGTTTAACACAGTGATATTGCTATATTAATCTCTAGCACATTAATATTAACACAACAAAACTCATTATTATTGTGTAATAAAGTAATATTACTATGTTGTCTGTTCAACAAATGTAAACATAATAAAAAAAAACCAAAAGAATTAATATTACTGTGAGTGACAGTAATATTACTATAGCAACAGTAATATTACAATAGTAGACAGTAATATTATTACGTTACTCCGTGAATAACTCAAACAAACAAAAAATCCAAACAAAATAATAATATCGATGTGGTTGACAGGAATATTACTATAACAACAGTAATATTACCGTCAACCACAGTAATATTATTGTGTTTACAGTAATATTACAATAATAGACAATAATATTAATACGTTACTCCGTGAATAACTCAAATAAAACAAAAACCCCAAAAAAATAATAATATTGATGTTGTTGACAGTAATATTATTGTGTTTACAGTTATTTTACTGTCAACGACAATAATATAATTACGTTGACTTGTCAACAAATCAAACAAAATAAAAAAATAATAATAATAAATAAAAAATAATAATATTGCATTAATTTACTGTCAACGGCAGCACAATTACATAAATGTAATGTCAACGGCAGTACAATTACGTTAATTAACTATCATTGACAGTATAATTACGTTAATTTACTGTCAGTGACAGCACAATTACGGTCAACGTTTAGCGGCGGACGTGGAAAAACAAAACAAACCAAACAAAAAAAAAAAAGACTTAAAAAAACACTAAAAAAAGTCAACGCCGGAGACCGCCGGAAACCGGCGAAAAAATCCGGAAGAAAAGAAAAGAAAAAAAAATATGAAAAGTCAACGCCGGAGACTGGCGTTGACCGCCGGAATCCGGCGGCAAAATTTTTTTTTTTGAAATTTTTTATTTTTTTGAAAAAAAAAAAGTTTTGGGTCAAAATTGAGAAATTTGTGAAATTTGGGGTCAAATTGAGATTAAATTAAGTTAAGGATGAAATTGGAACATATTAACTTATGCTAAAAAAAAAGTCAAAATTGAATTTTTTGGTCAAAATTGGATTTTTGTGGACAAAATTGATAAATTGGGGTTACAATTAAGAATTGTGTATAAATAGTTGAGGGTAATATTGGGATATACATGAATGTTTCCTTTAGTTATAATAAATATTAAAGGGAAGGACTTATTGGTGAAAGAGATATGTTCCATAAACCTAGAATAATAAACATGCTTGGTTGGGGACTTTTGCATAAAAATCTCTTTTTAATAAATTAATTGTATTTATTATGGTAAAGATACCTTTAATCAATCCAAATCAAACCAACCCAAAATATCTCTATCAAATTAAATCCCCCCAAAATCTCTCTATCAAATCAAATTCTGAAATGCTAATTGTAGCGGGACTTTTACTGAAATTGGTTTATTTGCAGCGGTAGTCTCATTTGTCAATTTCTTAACTTTCTAATAAAACCGAAACTCTCTCAACTAAAAAAAGTCGAAAACTTAGAATTTGAAACTCGTTCGACAAATTCAAAAACGAACAACGACTTATTCGATGGCTGATCCGAATAACTTTTATATGGTAAAAAGAAAGAAGAAAAAAAAAAAAAAAGATGGTGTAATCGTGCTATACAGCACGAGAAGTATCAAAAAAAAAGGAAAAAAATTGGAGTTACCCGTGCTGTACAGCATGGGAACTTGGGTCTGAATTTTCAATTTTTTTTTTTTTTTTTTTTTTTTTTTTTTTTACTTTATTCCTTTGTATTATTAAATTTAGGGCAAATTACCAAAACCCCCCTGAGGTAAGCCTAAATAACGAAAATCCCCCCCATGTTCTCGTAATTACGAAAACCCCCCTTGACTAACGGTTGACCGAATTTTTTTAACCGAAAACGTGAAATGTCTATTATATCCTTCTGTTAAATGTGTAAAAAATAAAGGGCAAATTACCGAAACCCCCCTGAGGTAAGCCTAAATAACGAAAATCCCCCCTGACATCCCTTTCAGTTGATGATTTATTGCTTTTATAAATTTGTTTATTACTTTGTAATTTGTATTGATAATTTGATATTATAATTTTTTATTATTTTTATTTATATATTTTAATTGATTTTATTTATCCAGAGGAGTATTCATATGGATTTATGCTTTTAGCTTGAATGATGCATGGTTGTATTTCTCGAATTGTAAAATATTTAATTTTATATATAAAAAATAATTAAATTTTGAAATCTCATTCATTGATTTTTTTTAATCCAATAAAAATACATTGTACATTCATAATGATTGATTATATGTGGGTTTAATTTAAGAAAAATAAGTATTTTGCAGACACTTATATATTTTTTTATTTATATATTTTAATTGATTTTATTTATCCAGAGGAGTATTCATACGGATTTATGCTTTTAGCTTGAATGATGCATGGTTGTATTTCTCGAATTGTAAAATATTTAATTTTATATATAAAAAATAATTAAATTTTGAAATCTCATTCATTGATTTTTTTTAATCCAATAAAAATACATTGTACATTCATAATGATTGATTATATGTGGGTTTAATTTAAGAAAAATAAGTATTTTGCAGACACTTATATATTTTTTTATTTATATATTTTAATTGATTTTATTTATCCAGAGGAGTATTCATACGGATTTATGCTTTTAGCTTGAATGATGCATGGTTGTATTTCTCGAATTGTAAAATATTTAATTTTATATATAAAAAATAATTAAATTTTGAAATTTCATTCATTGATTTTTTTTAATCCAATAAAAATACATTGTACATTCATAATGATTGATTATATTTGGGTTTAATTTAAGAAAAATAAGTATTTTGTACATTCATAATGACCCCTCATTAAATAAAATGCTTACAATTACCCCCCTAAGGTTAATTTTGTGTACAAGGGCAAAATTGGTATTATCGGAGGAATATTCGGGAGAATCAAAAAGATTCTATCGAGTCTAACACCGTTAGAGCGATTTGTAAGACGTCTGCATACCTCAGGGGGGTTTTCGTAATTACGAGAACATGGGGGGGATTTTCGTTATTTAGGCTTACCTCAGGGGGGTTTTGGTAATTTGCCCTTAAATTTATAATTTGGTAGGGTGATGATGGTGATTTTGACGAAAAAATTGACGATGAATGTACAAACGAGTACAATAATCCGAATATGTGTTATCATGTTTCTCAAATAATTATAAAATTCATAACACGGGAGCTTTAAATTTTTTTATTTTTTTTTCGAAATTTTGCTACATCTAATCCTAAACATGTGTTTTTACCTAAATTGGAAATAAAACTAATTAAAAGTAGTAGGATATTGAAAATTTACCGGAATCGAGCCTCGTTTGCTACAGTTTGAATGTCGAAAAATTTACGAAATTCGAATTTCTAGAGAGAGTTTGGGAATAGGAGAGAGAAATTGAAAAAAAAATAATGAAATGAAAAAGGTACCGCTGCAAATAAGCCAATTTCAGTAAAAGTTCTGCTGCAAATAGTAACACCCAATCAAATTCTCCAAAGCATATTTTTCCCAATTTTAAATAAAAGAACAACATCACGTCGTAAAAGAAAATATACGCTGAAAAACGCAAACTTGCAAAAAAACTTCCACAATGATTTCACCAAATTGCAAACAGCAAACTGAAAAATATAATCTGCACTATTTAAGTGCAAATACCTATGAATCGACCAAATGCAAACTACAAACTACTTCATCTAATTATAAACAACAAACTGAAAATATGATCCAAACCATCTGAATTCAAACGCAATAACAACATTAATCAAAATAATAAACATAATACAAATGTAAAAAACAACAACAAAATCTTCCAATGTCTAAAATTGCGATTTGCAGTTTGCAACAAATCAACTGTTACGGATTGCAATTTGTTGTTTTCTGTTATATGCTTCAAATTTATTTTGCCATTGCAAAATTTTGTTGTTGTTTGCATGAGCAAAATCAATTAGAAAACACAAACAAAAATTATAAAATCACTACGAATAAATACAGAGAGGGAGAAGTAAAGAGGTAACTTTTTGTAAGCAATGAGTTGTTTGTTGTCGGCTATTAACTCTTTCACTAACATATCATCTCATAATGTAAAGAAACTCTCTTTTGTTTTGCTATGCATTCCATCGAAAAAATCAAAGAGAGTATAAGGAGGGAGAGAGAGAACGTGAAAGAGTAGAGAGGAGAGAGGAGAGAGGAAGAAAAAAAATCGTGAAAAGAGAAAGGAGGGAGAGAATAAAAAATACGTGAGAAGGGAAGAGAGGAGAAAGGAGAGAGAGAAAAAGAAATACGTGAGAAGAGAAGAGAGAAGGAAGGAGAGAGAGAGAAATTTATGGAAGGAAGATAGTGATATATGTGGAATTTGTTTTCTCACTTCTTTACGTAAAAAAACTAATTACATATAAAACAATTAATAATCTGAGGGTATTTATGTCTAATAACTTGTAAAATTATTTAATTTATATTAATTTTTTGAGTCAAGGGATCTACACCTATATTCATCTAACAAATTGGATCTCCACCTATATAAGTCTAGAATAAGGGGTGTCTAGCCAATTTCCCCTTTATGAATATACTTGATTAAAAATTATGGGAAAATTATACTAAATAAGAATATTCTAGAGTATATTACAAAAAACCCATGAAATTAAGCTAAATTACGGAAAACACCTCCATCTATCCATAATTATCAAAAGTCACCTGACGTTTGTTTCCATCTTACACCGACCCCTTTTCGGTGTAACTTTTCACGGAATTGTTTTTATTCAGTGAATATTTCCCGAAAATACAAATTCTACCCCTGCATATGTAGCATTTCTTTATGTTATTTTTTAAAGACAAAAATTATCCTCTCTACAGGGCAGTGATAATACTAAAAAATTATGAAGCTGTTATTTAAGAAGAATAAAGATTATGTGTAAAGCCCCTGCCCCTAATGATAATTTTTGCCTTTAAAAAGTAGGGCAAAGTATGGTTACACCCTTTGGTAATATCAAATTACGAAAAAACCTTTCTTCTTTGGGTAATTACAATCACCCCTCAAGTATGTATTGTGTTACACGTTCACCCCTTAATTATGTATGGTCTTACACGTTTATCTTTATGGTGTTAAATTTACCTCTCGAATGAGGGAATTCTTCGTAAAATAATACATAGTTAAGGGGTGGTTGGAATAAAGGTCATATATACAAGATGGATTTTTTCGTAATTTGAAAAACTTCAAAATGTACACTTGTCAAATGTTTCAATTTATCAATTGTTTTTGCAAAAAATCAAGATCCAAACTTAGTTTAAACGTAAAGCTACAACCACTCATTTGCATTTTGCACCGTCATTGTTGATTAAAAAACTTCTTTTCATATTAATGAATTGTTTAATACTTTAATCAAATTAAGACAACCATAAAAGCAAACATAGGTTTCAATCCCACCTTCATTAAATTCTTACATAAAACCAACACATATATAAATATACATCCACACCAATACACACTTCATCAAACATAAATAAAGAGTTATACATACAATCAAAGATGTCAGAATTCAGCACTATGATAATCAAGATCACATTCTTCCTCATAATCAACGTGGGAATATTCTTCCTCGACCAATCCGAAGCAACGAAAACGAAACCAATTAGCGACGGGCCCACACCTTCACCACTCCCTTCACATAGCGAAAAAGAGATACCCTCACCACAGTACAAACACTTCTTGGAAGAATGCGAAAAAAGAATAACCGAAAAATGCGCACACGAAATCTTCAAAGAAATATTCGAAAACAAAACGATCAGCAATAACTGTTGTTCGGAGCTCGTCGACATGGGGCCCGATTGTCAAAGTATCATGATCCAACGAGAAAAAGATCTATTAAAAAACAAGAACGAGAAAAACACAATCGTACAAAAGAGCGAGGATCTATGGAAGAGATGCTCGAAAATCACGCCAATGGATAAAAAAAGACAATATCCGAAGGTCCCGCAACGAATGTACCTACCCGGGTACGACAACTTCTTGAAGGGATGCGAGGAGGAACTGACGGAGAAATGTGGGGCCCAGGTTCTCGGTTTCGTGTTCAAGAAGAACGAGACCGCGAACGTGGTGGACAAGGGTTGTTGCTCGAAGCTTTTGAAAATGGGGCACGATTGCCACGACGAGATGCACGTGCGTCTTCAGCGTTTGGCCGATAGGAAAAAGGAGAAGAGTGATTTTGTTAAGGAGAAGGGTCATCAAATTTGGAAATATTGTGAAGAAATCATAGCTCATAATTAGTTAGAAATAATATTATTATATATATGCTGATGAATTTCTGCTCTTGATTAGTAGTGTTAATAATACAATGCAGTTTTTCGTCGTTTAATTTACGGAGATTCGATGCTAACTGTTGTTTAAAAACTGACACTGATGAAGCATAAGTACGAGAATAATTCGTAGATGAATACGTACATCGTACTAGCTATACATGCCAAAGAACGGAATGAACTAAGGGCGGACCCAGGGGCTTTTAGTTGGGGGGCCAAACTATAGGGATGAATAAAGAGAAGGAAAAAAGATATTTTTTATGGGCTAAAAGTGTACAAATTTTAAATTATGGGAGGCCAAAATCTATAAATTAATAGATAGATGCCGAAATGCAATAAAAAATAGGTGATAAATTTTTTTTTCTGCAGGGGCGGGAGCCTCCCCCAAGCCCCACGTAGTTCCGCCTCTGGAAAGAAGTATTGAATAGTGATTGGGAAAATTATAATCTACCGGTTTCCAATCCGAAATATTTCTGATATTGGAACAATATTTTTCATTCTGAATTTTTCGGTTTCTTTTATCAGAATTAGAATATATTTTAAATCCGAATTTCCAACCCGATTTTAATTTCTGAAAATTACGATTTCTTTTCCAAAAATTACATTTATAATAAAAGTATTTATTATGTATTTTATATTCAGGCGACTAAAAATTGAGAATTTCTGAATTCCGTGGATTCCGATCAGAAAACTTTTGATTATAAAACAAGTTTTTTCATTTTTTTTTAAATAACGTGCTTAAATATATAAAATCGGGAAAATTAGAGGAAAAATATATATAAATTCACTAGAAAATGTTTTTTGTACATTTTTTGCATTAAAAAAAAGGGTTACTATTTATTATTCCAATCCATAATGCAACAAAGGGAACTATGAGGATGCCAAACATCTCAAGCAATATTTGTTACAACTTAGACGAACCGTTTATTCTTCCGAATCACGACACGGAAGCTGAGCCTCTTGAAACTCGAGGATCGCACTCGCGCACTTTTCTTCCGCTCCCTCACCATAAGGGCTATACCCTAGTTTCACCGTATAAGACTCTATCGATTTCAAGTGGTTATACCTAGCCCGCACCAATGCAGAAGAAATCTCGTCGTGCCACTCGTCGTAATCATTATCGACAACCGCGTGTTCGTATTTTACAATCTGGTTGACTTCTAAAAGTTGTTGCTTATGATAGATATTCAGCTGTTTGAGTCTCTTCTCCGCCGCCACGTCATCCTCATTGTAGTCGACAGCCGTGGTGGTGGTGGTTCCGTCGTCATGGAATGGCAGTGGTGGGAACATCTCGATTGAGGAAACTGGCGGCGGCAGCGGCAGCGGCGGGTTGGGACAGGCGATGATGTTCTTCCTTAAAGTGTCCAACTGTTGCTGGAATTCCTTAACGAACTGTTCCGTAACTGAAACAACTAACTCGTCGGAGATCTCCGCCGCCGATTTGTCTTTCCTCGGCCTGAATATTCATTCAATTCACTAAAACATAACAATGATTTAATTACTCAAAGAATTATATGGCACCAAATTCAGAAAAAAAAAATATTATTGTGCAAATTACAAAAAAAACACCGAGATAAAGCTTAATTACGAAAATACCCTTCTAACCAGTGATTGACCGTTTAAATTCATAAAACACGTGTTTTGTCCATTTTACCCTTCTTTTATTTTAAACAAATAGTGGGTAAATTATGATAAACCCCCTGAGGTAAGGTTTAACTACAAAAATATGAGCCATATTTGCTTGATTACGAAAACTCCTCCGATGTATGTGTCGTCTTACACAACCCCTACAGTGTTTCTTTTTTAATAATTATATATATATATATATATATATATATATTCTATTTTTAATAATTATAACCGCTAAATATATTACTACTCACCCCCTAAGTAATAAATATGCTTATAATTACGCCTAAGAGCAAAGACGGCATTTTTGGAGGAATATTTCATGGAATCAAAAAGATTTCATTAAAAATACCACTGCACCATGACTCTGTAAGACGAAAACATACCTCAGAAGGGTTTTCGTAACTACGCACATATGAAGAAAATTTTCGTAACTAGATCTTACCTCAGGGGTTTTCTCGTAATTCGTTATATAAAGTATTAGTTGCATGGCCCTAAGAAATACGTAACAACCTGAATGCTATATTCGTAGGGTCGAGATTCACAGATGCAGGCTCCTCATCCACTTCGGCCTCCTCAACCACGCGCTTCTCAGCTGCACGCGCCTCAACCGCTGCGGCCAGCCTTTCCGGCGTCAGAATTTCAGCCACCTTCTTCGCAACTCCATCGGCAAATCGCTCTGCAAATCTCAGAAAAAACTTCTCGATAAAGATCTGCGTGAATTCATCGGCGTATGCTTCTCCCAACTTTTTAGCGAACTGTACACAATTATATATATATTTTTAATTAGTAAAGAAAAAACAAAATTAGTAAGAAAATATTTAAATAATATAAGGAAACTCATATAAATTAAATTACGCATTGGGATTTCTGAGCACGACGACGACCCATTCGATTGTTTACAAACTGAGTAGTGACGATGGCAGATTGGAAATTAATATCGAGAATTTGTAACAAGAATTAACACGGATTAATTAATTAATTAATTATTGAATAACAAATTTCTAAAAAACAATTGCCACGTGGCGTCCTCTGGCCAAGTCTCTCTCTCCCCATCTTTGTGGCTTCTTGTGATTGGGCTTCGTTTGCGCAACCTAATTTAGGGTAAAATTCGTTTTGCACCCATGTATTATGCGAAAAAGTATTATTTACTTTCTTAATGTATAGAAAATATCAAATATTCTCCTATTTGTGACTGTTAATTTAACGGTGTTAAATTTGAATGTGCAATGATTCATTTGCCCTTGTTTTATGTTTGATGTAATCCCCTATTATTTTAGGTGTATTTTTTGAGGATTGTTCACGATTTTTAGTGTTCATTCAAATTATTTTTGCCGATTTTAGTGTCTGATTTTACTTTTCTCGGTGGTTTTGCCTTTATAATATAAAAAACTTTGTTTTTTATTTGCAATTTTGTCATAGGTTTCTATTTCAATTTTAGGATTTCTTTAAGATTTTAGGTGTTTTCAGTTTAGTTTTTTTCTTTTTTTTTTTTTTTTTTAGGTTTGCATTCATAATGTGCAAAACTTCATTCTTATTGATTCAACTTTCCAGTTTTTTATGCATAAACTAAAGAAAAAAGGTTGAAAATAGTGAAAATCTGGTGAAAAATGGCAAAAACTAAGCAATCTATATAGATAATTTTTTGAGGTATTTTCGTCAAAAATAAAAAGCGAACAAGTCTTTGCAAAAGTCGGCCAAAAGGTTTAATTAACGGAATTAGGAAAAAGACTAACGACAAAGCAGTATCTGATGTTCTATATATATCAAAAGATAAATGATACTTTTCGCATAGTATAGAGATGCAAAATGAATTATATCATTGGATTTATTTTTCCGAAAAATAATCCAATGAAAGGTGAGAAATAACCGGTCAAGATTCTCTTATGATATTTTCAAATGTTTTCTGATTTATTAAGCGTGTTTGTGAAACGCGATTTCTCACAATTGCTGTGAAAACTGTTTTTCATATTAATTAACAAATTGTTTAATACTTAACCAAATTAATTAAGACAACCATAAAAGCAAACATAGGTTTCAATGTGATCCAATAATTTGAGTTGTAACATATCCCACCTTCATTAAATTCTTACATAAAATCAACACATATATAAATATACATCCACACCAATATAAACTTCATCAAACATAAATAAAGAGTTATACATAAGATCAAAGATGTCACAATCCAGCACCATGAAAATCAAGATCACATTCTTCCTCATAATCAACGTGGGAATATTCGTCCTCGGCCAATCCGAAGCAACGAAAATGAAACCGATTAGCGACGGGCCCACCTCTTCACCCCTCCCTACACATAGTGAAAAAGAGATACCCTCACCCCAATACAAACACTTCTTGGAAGAGTGCGAGAAAAGAATAACCGAAGAATGCGCAACTGAAATCTTCAACGAGATATTCAGAAACAAAACAATCAGCGAAAACTGTTGCACGAAGCTCGTGGACGACATGGGGCCCGATTGCCACACTATAATGATCCAACGAGAACGGGATTTATTGAAAGACAACAAAGAGAACGACGTGATTATCTCGAAGAGCGAGGAATTATGGAAAAGATGCTCGAAAATCACACCGGTTAATAAAAACCGACAGTATCCGAAGGTCCCGGAAAGGCAATACCTTCCCGGGTACAATAAATTCTTGAATGAATGCGAGAAGAAACTAACGGAGAAATGTGGGGCCCAGATTCTCGATGTTGTGTTCGACAAGAACAAGGTGGCCGCGAATGTTGACAAGGATTGTTGCTCGAAGCTTTTTGAAATGGGGCACGAGTGCCGAAACGAGATGCACGTACGCCTCGAGCATCTTGCGATTAGGAAAAAGGAGACGGGTAGTGATGTAGTTAAGGAGAAGGGTCATCAAATTTTGAAATATTGTGAAGAAATCAATAGCTCATAAGTAATTAATTAGTGAGAAGTATATATATTTATATTATCATTATATATGTATGGACTATGTAATACGTACTATACATGCCAAAGAACATAAATAAATATTGAATAATGATTATGAAATATTGAATAATGATTATGTTAAGTTATTCCAGAAAGAAATAATGTTGTAGTATGAGTTTACTTTACTTTTTACCTTTTTTCTATTTTTTTCTCATTTCTTACAAAAATAAATATTATCGTTTAGTACTAGCTAGCCTTTGTGTATGATGAGTTTTATTATGTTGTAATGTTTATTATTTAAAATAGTGTTAATTGTGATCTTTTGAGTATTTGACTGTATTGCATAATGAAGTATATATGAATTATTTTGATTCACTACATCTCCCTATGTTATTTATTTATTTTGCTTCTATGATATCCCATAGGTATTCTAAAATTATTTGGTTAAAATTATGGGCAAGATTAACAATTTCTGTAACACAATTTCAGAAATGAATCACTAATTCTAATTTTGTTCCAAAATATTTCGAAAAAAAAATGGTTGCATATCCAAATAGGTTTTTACTAGACCAATAAAACTAACTTCAAAAGATAAAACCCAAAGTTGAACACTTGTAAATAGAAATACTCTAGGTATAAACATGTAAGAAGTTGTAGGTGGTATAAAAGAAGTATGAAAGAATTACAAACTTGCCCCAAGTACAAAAAAAGAAGCGCAAATTACGTCTACTCTTGAGTTATGGTCAAATTATGAAAATGTCCTCCTGTTTGGTAATTACAGCCACTCTCACAACTATATATTATCTGACGAAAAATCCCTCCAAATGTAAATTCAGGGTTGTTAAATCGGTTAAATCGAAATTTCGATACGCCAACATTTCATACTGTTTACCGAACTGAATATACGATTTGGTTCGAAAAATAACCGAATTACATAAATTTTATGTAAAAATATTTAAAAGGAGGGGGTGACTGTAATTACCAAAACAATAGGAGTTTTTTCGTAATTTGGCCATACTTCAGGGATTGGCCGTAATTTGCCCAAAAAAATTACAAAAACTAATTGTGATGGTTTGGGCTTTTAAAACTAGATAGAAATAGAATTGTGTTTTAGGCCCCCAAGGCTAGGGTCTACGTACAATAGTCTATATATATATATATATATATATATATATATATATATATATATATATATATATATATGCATGCCGTTAATCTCTGAGTTAAAGAACAATCTAATTGAACAAGGTGAGTAAACTTCAGAGGATTATATTTTTTTATATTTTCTGCTCAATTAGTGTTTTATAATCTTAATTTATTTGTTTTTGCTTTTGATTTTGGTTCCGTTTATGAGACAGAAATATCAATGTTCCGATCTAGGATATGAACTAGGGTTACAAGATTCTCTCTCTCTCTCTCTCTCTCTCTCTCTCTCTCTCTCTCTCTCTCTCTCTCTCTCTCTCTCTCTCTCTCTCTCTCTCTCTTGTATGTGTGTTAAAGTGAGTTCTCTGTGTTTCTTTGTGTCTCTTGCAATCTGAATGTCTTTAAGTTTGTATGTGTGGTGGTATGCGTGTTGAATTTGGCCTTTGCTTCACAGTATCTATTTGCCGAATTATGCCAAAAAAATAAAATTCAAAATAAAAAAAATACAATTTGATAAGAATTTTTGTTTGATTAAAATCTTATATAAATTCAGGCGGACGGACGATGGGAAAACCACGAGTCTACGTCGAAGACTATGTATCTGCAACAGAAGAGTTAATCAAGGAAATCCGTGAAATAATCGACATCACGGAAACGTATATGGGGAAGTACGTAGATATTCCCGCCATACTGAAACTCCTAAAGTACCCGCTCCCACGCGCATGCGACGTGTTTCCGGAACTAATCACCGACGATAATAATGATGACGATGACGATGATGACGGTGATGATGATGATAGTGACGATGAGTTTGTGGAGATGATGTCGAAGAAGGTTGAACAATTGGATAATGAGCTAGACCAAGTGTCGATGGAGATGACGCAGACTGTGATGATGATGGGGCACCTGGCTTTAGGTAAGGGGGGTGTCCACCCCCATATGCATATCCACAATGACAAGATTGTGTCTATATCAAAACGGTTCGCCACCCAAGTGGACAAGGCTATCGAGATTTATCACGAGAAATTGGGTCTCCCACCTTACGTCAATCCAATCATCAAGCCAATCGCCAAACATGGTAGTAGGTACTTTCTCGTCGAGATGTTTAAACGGATGGAACAACAGCATTCGGAATAGGCCCATCATGTCGGATTGGTTGATTTTAGTTTTTTTTTTTTTTTTTTTTCTTTCTCCGTCTTAATAATATTGGACTCGTATCGTATTTTCGTTGTGCGTTTTGTTTCGAACGTTGGGAATCTGTTTTGTCGAGGTCTTATTCTTGTTTTACACAGAAGAGTTTCATTAAGTTACACATGGTATGTGCATGCGTATTCGTACAAGATTTTGATGGTATTCGTATTTGGAAAAGGTTTGTGTTGATCGATGTTGCGGTTATGTTGAGCTGTTTTCATATTGTGTTCCCGAAGGGAAAGTTCATCAAATGTTGTTGAAGAAGAGCATTCATGAATACAAGAAAACCAATTCTTTGACCCTCTTTCGCGAAAATAGGGGTTTTCGACACAATTTAAAGATGTAACAAAACCTCCTTCGATTCCACACAACAAAACAATAATCGGTAAAAATTGATGTAAGCACCCCCAATTGCCACGTGGCGATGATCGAGCCCGAGACACTTGAAATTGAGTGCAATTAAACAAAATACAAATTCGATCAAACATGTGGCGAATCCATCATTTTGTCAAGGAAGTTCGAAATTGAGTTTAATAACAAAGACCTTCCCGGATACAATAACTTCTTGAATGAATAAGAAAAGAAACTGACGGAGAAATGTGGGGCCCAGATTCTCGATATTGTGTTCGACAAGAACAAGGTGGTCGCGAATGTGGACAAGGATTGTTGCTCGAAGCTTTTGGAAATGGGGTACGAGTGCCAAAACGAGATGCACGTGCGCACCGAGCATCTTGCGATTAAGGAGAAGGGTCATCAAATTTTGAAATATTGTGAAGAAATCAATAGCTCATAATTAATTAATTAGTGTGAAGTATATTATTATATTATTATTATATTTGAAAGAATTTATGGTCCCGAATTCGTTTAATACAGAGGTGTTGTCTTAAGTATTATGACACTTGAACAAACATGCAGCGGAAATAAAAAGAACAATACTCAGACTTAAAAAATGTTCACAAGTAAATACTTGTGAACTTGCCCTTTACAGGACGAAAAAGAATATATTCAAATCAGTATTCCAGGAATACAAATGGAAGAGGTGCGAAAACTTCTTTCATTCTCATGATCATTTTTACAATCAAATCTAGATACTAAAAGAAAAATATTAAAAATTCTAGATTTCAAAGAATGTACTCATAAGGAGTACGTACAACAGATCCTAGAAACACACTAAAACTCTCGAGATTAAAACTTCAGCACTCTTTTTGTTTCTTCGAAATCTGTGCAATTCTTGAGTCTTGAGTTTGGTATTTATAGACTTGCCAAGCTTCCACTCCTCAGCCCATGATCTGCAAGAAAACCAACCACAAGGGCACTCAAGAAAGTGGGTTAGTGGGTTAGTTTAGGAAGTTAGAATAAAACCACAATTAAGCCCACTAAGCACTACTTAGCCCACTAAGTCATAACTAAAATTTAGTTTGAAAGTAAGAGAGTTAAAAACACTTTTGTATAAAGAACAACGTGTTTCAAACTCCCCCTTTTTAACTTTCTGATCAAAACTAAATTTTAGTTAAAAACTCCCCCTGAGACATTGCTTGAACTCCCCCTGAATTTGATAATAAACAATATATAAAGAAATCAATTCAAAACAAATTCAGCAAGATAGTTCAACACAAATTAAAAGAAAAGAAATAACCAAAATGCAGTCCTAAAAACAGAACAAAAATCCAAATATTGTTCATGAAAACGATTAAAGTAGAATGTCCAAAGTCTCCTCAGTATCAGCTGTTGCTCCTCCATCACTAGATCCACTGCTTTCTTCTGCTCCTTGAGCTTCACCCTCACTCTTTGCTTCCTCTTCATTTACTCCTTGCTCTCTGCCTCTGGCATCCAAAGGGTGAGAAGTTCCTGCTTCAGCTTCATGACCTTTTTCTCCCCCTTTTTGATCAGAAAGAGCCTTTTGAAGCATGTCCACCATGGACTGGTGATAGGTAAGCTGAGCTAGAGAGTGAGTAAGCTGTTGCAACAAAAGATCTCTAGGAACAGACACAAGAATGTTAGGAATGTTGTCAACATGAGGAGCAACACCTTCAGTACCAAGATTATTTTGACCTGATTCAGTTGAGAGAAAATTATCTCCATTCCAGGGAAGATCTTGGACATGAGGAGCTCTTAGAAAATTTTGAGAGACAGTGATCATGCCTTGTGGAGTGTGAAGATATTCTGAGTCATCTTGGCCCAAGTTTTGAGAGAGTAAAATGGAATAGATGAGAGAAGGATAAGGGAGATGAGTAGAGGGTGAAATTTTCTGGGCAAGATGACCAATAGCATCAAAGAACAGTTTGCCAAAATCCACTGGTAAACCCATCCCCAATTTGTACATGAGTACTGCATGAGGTTTAGTTACCACAGAGACATTTTTGGATGGAATCCAATTCATCACTGTGAGTCTAAACAAGACAGAATAAAAAGCAGTGAGTTGGGAAACTTTGAATTTTCTTGGGTGTGCAGGCCAACTTCTTAAACGGTTTCCAGAAATAACTTTGCAAATCTCAGTAAAATCACCATAATTATCCTCATCAATCACAGTAGGAGTTTGTAAATGAGAGTTGATAATTTTGGGAAAAAATGAGAAGATGAAATTTCGCACAAAAACTTTGCCAAAGTTTGGAGAGTTCTTCTTTAAAAAAGAGGTTTGCAAATTTGCATAAAATTCCTTCACAACAGTGGGATCATAGGAGCAGGCAATCTCAACTAGGTTAAAAAAATTTCTTTGATGAAGGAAATCAGTGATCCTATGTCTATCAAACTCTTCCTTAGAAATTTTCTTTTCCTCAATGAATTGACAATTCATGACTTGAGGACTCAAAATTGAATCAGATTCAAAATAAAAATTAGGACTGAAGGCATTGTTTACCTCAAAAGGGGTTGACAAATTCTTCCCATCCAAGTCTGGTTCTTCTTCTTCTGAGGAGTCCTCATTTTCTGAATCTTCAAGCTCATCAGGAATGTAGGCTGGTTCAGGTGATGCCACAGGTGGGGCAACATCTTCTTCCTGCTTAGAAGAGTCTTCAGAAGATTCACTTTCTGAATCAGAGGAGGGCAAGTTTTTGCGAAAAGCATCTAGAGGAACCTCCCAGCTGTCATCACTTTTCTCTAGTTCTTCAGCCTGAGGAGGAGATGCATCTGCTTGAACTGCTACTTCTGCTAGAGTTTCCAGAGGGTCTGCCTGAGGTGCTGATGGTGTTTCTTCAGTAGTGGTGAAATCCTGAGCATCAACAGTGGGAATGTCAACATGCTCTGCAGATGACATCCCAGAAAAATCAGGCATTTCTTCATCCTGATAGGGAGCAGCATCCTCAGCAGCATTCTGAGGAACATTTGCTGAGACAGTGGGTGCATCAGCATCTTCTGGAGCATGTGCATCAACACCTTCAGAAACAGGAGATTGAGAGGCTGCTGCTGCCATGCTAGGCTGAGATGTCTCCCCCTGAGTTGATGCTGGGGGAGGTGAGTCCTTTGACGAAGACTCAGAGGAGCTGGAGGATAGAGCTTGAGCCTCTGGTGCTGCAAAGGTAGGATCTCCTTCTTCATCATCAGTTTCTTCATCCACCAAATGAAGGCCTCTTGGTGGATTTTTCCTAACTGGAGAACGACCACCTCTGCCTCCTCTTCTTCCACCTCTGCCTCCTCTTCTGGGAGAGTTTTCTCCCCTCCGGCGTTGTGGCCCAGCAGTATTCAGATCTGGGAAGGGGTTCATGCGTTTGGACCGGCGGGTTGGAAACCTTCCGGCAGTGGAGGAAGGACCCGCAAACTCGAAATTGTCTGGGTCGATCGGGTTCAGCTCATCTCCGGGCTCAATGTAGCTAATTGGTACAGCTTCAAAATTGATTGGATGAACGATGATGGCCAGATTTGGGTCTGCTGGTTCAGGTGCTGCAGCATCGTTGTGGACATCACCAACGGCGGATGGAGGAGGATTTCTAGGTGGAGATGCCATGATACAGTAGATAGAGAAAGATTGCTTCTTTGTGCTTTTGATTTTTGAGTGTGAATTTTTTAGGGAAGAAGCACGAAATTTATAAGCCCTAATTTTGCTGAAGAAAGAAAAATTGAAGTGGAGAAGGTGAAGAAGTGGTGTGCGTTTTTCTTGGTGAGAGTGTGATTAAGGAGAATAAAAGTTTCCTTGGCAGTTTAAAGAAAAAAACGTGACACATGGCACAATAAGGAGTGGACTTAGTGGAAAATGAAAGACTAACCCATGTACCCATGACCCATATAAATAGGGATAATTCAAAAAAAAATAAAAATAAAAATAAAAATTGTAGCACTTATGAAATATTCACAAAAATAGAAAAACACATTTATTAATGATTAATAGTGAGAAAAAAATTTGGCTAACAGGCATAGATTTTATGTGTATATATATATATATATATATATATATATATATATATATATATATATATATATATATATATATATATATATTTTATTTATGTAAATATATAAACTCTTATTTTCAAGTCAAACAATTCACATGGAACATGATCAAGTGTTCAGTTTGAAGGTTCCTCAGTTACTAAGATATAACTATCAAAATAGAGTAGTTTGACTTATGTGAGTGTAATTATTCCCTAAATGTTTACATGAAGCATGATCACGTTTCAAGGTGAAAGACTTCCAGTTGCTGATTTAGAAAATAATCCATCACAGTGAAGTCATTTATTTAATGAAGTTAATCTTCAGTAAATTATGTTGCAGCTTAAGATATTTGATGAGGTGCTGCAACACATTTCAGGACATGTTTATTGAGTACACATCCCGAGAGATTTTCTGAGTTTAGAAAACCTCGCATAATCTAATGCCTTTGTAAAGATGTCAGCCAGCTGATCTTCTGTAGGAATGTACTTTAAGCACACTATATTTTTCTCAACTATATCACGAATAAAATAATGTTTAATATCTATGTGTTTAGTTCGTGAGTGTTGAACAGGATTTTTTGAAATGTCAATAGCACTTGAATTATCACAATATATGGTCAGGG